CTTGTCCATCAGATTGCTGCTGACTCAACCCCAAGAGGCTGGGAGCTCTGCAGACGGGGCGATCCTGTTCTTTTACAGCTGATTCACACTGAGGCTACCAATGAGGTTGAGTGGAAATGCTACACCTGAACAGCTCAAAGTGCAAGGACCAGCTGGAGGTTTTCATTGCATGGCTTGGGTGTCCTTCCATCTAGAAAAGGCACAAGAGGGGAAGGGAAGACACAGAGAGAAGTGTGATGGTGGGACATGGCCTGGCTTTCAGCTCACCAGATAGAATCAGAATCATTGAGGTTGGAAAAGACCACGGAGATCCAGCAGTCCAACTATCAGCCCATCACCACCGTGCCCACTGACCACGTCATGAGAATCAGTGGTGTTGGAGCAGTGGTGCTGGGGGATTTCCCTCCCTCCTCTCCCACATTGCCAAGCACAAGGTTAGGCAATGCTGGCTGATAAGAGCAAACCCATAAAAGGCGTGTGAGGGCTTCCCACGCTCACCTCAGCAGCCCCGTCCCTTCCTTTCTCTCCCTGCCCCATGCATCACTCATTAACCCAGCTCACCCTGGGGCTGCACAGTCTCCTGGCACTGGGTGAGGCTGAGGCTTCCCATAGGCAGGGGATAGGCTGGGGGCAGAGACCCACATCCAGCCTGTCCCCACACCCATCCATCCATCCATCCCTTCATCCATCGCTGCATCCATTCCCACTTCCATCCCTACATCCCTGCAACCTCTTCCTCACCTCTCCAACGTCACCACCCATGCCACTTGGGCCAGAGGACAATCCCACCATGTCAGACAGTCCTGCAGGACGGAGCTTCGTTCAGCACACCCTATAGCAAACCCACCAGACACCCGAGCTCAGTCCTCCTCCATGCAGCACTACTGGGGGGTCCTGCACGAGCAGGATCCAGCAGATGAGCCACGCTCCTGCATCCCTGCCCAGCAGCACGTATTGCAGAGCTTGCCTCCTGCAGGAGTTAATTACTGTCACGACTAATAGCACCCTGGTTGCTGTTTGCAGCTTTTACCCTGCAGACCTGCTCGGCAGGGTAAGGATAGCATGCAGGGCAGCAGCTGAGGTCCCTCCTAGCCCAGAGCCACCGTGACAGCACAGGGCAAGCTGCAGCAAGTTTCCGACCCATTAGCAATATCTCTAATTACTCAGTGACCCGCTCTGCCGGGACCTGGGGTATCAGCAGGCTGCAAGCAGGGAGCAGCACGTGGGCAGCCGAGCGCTGTCATCTCCCATCAAAAGCACTGGGCCTCCCGGCGCAGGGATGTTCGCAGTAATTATCAGCTTTATTCTGCAAGAGGGCACTTTGTCTGGATGCCTTTATTTGTTCCAAGAGGCAGATAGGCATCAAGATGTGAATGCATGCAAAAGCACGGGTGTGTATGTGCATGGTTTGAGTGCTGCCTGGGCTGTGCACACGTGCTCACACACGGCATGTTGCGTGGATGCTTATCGGCGAGGCAGGGATGTAGGACGGCCCCGGTTCAAGAAAGCACTTAAACAGGTGTGCAGCTTAAAACATGGTCCTAAGTGCTTTGTTGAATCTAAAGGCACTTAGGAAAATACTTAAATGCCATCTGAAAGAAGGGCTGCTTTCCAGCGCCGCAGACAAATGGCAGAGCCAGCGGAGAGGAAGCCGGTGTGTTAATGTAGAAACTGAATTATTTATTTTGTCTGACTTCAAATGCCTTCCTCTGCTCTAATATCTGAGTACTAAGAGCAAAGATACTCTCATTTCCTGAGGATGCCAAAGCCCTTTTCTAATTCTATATGAAAAAAAAGACAAGCTCCCATCCTCACCCCGGTCAATGGCATCTCCACAAGGCTCACTTGGTGCTGCACATAAGTAAAATGGGGGAAAATGAAGGCTGGCACTTTCTCCACATTTCAGATCTCTGTGCATCCTGCAGCAGGGAAGCACAGCTTTATGTTGCCCAGGTACTGCAATGGCTTGCCCATTAGTTTTGCTGCCTTGATTTATGTCGTCCCTAATTTGAGACAGTCTGGTTGGGTTTGGTTGGGTTTGATTTGGTTTGGTCCAGTTGTCTTTATTTTGGTTGGGTTGAGCGGGGTTGGATTTGGTTGGGTTGGGTTGGTTTGAGCGGGGTTGGATTTGGTTGGGTTGGGTTTGGTTTGGTCCAGTTGTTCTTAGTTTAGTTGGGTTGGGCTGGGTTGGATTTGGTTGGGTTGGGCTGGGTTGGATTTGGTTGGGTTGGATTCAGTTTGGTTTGATCTGGTTTAGTTTGATTCTGTTTGGTTTGGTTTGTTCAGCCCTCGGCATACCAACAGTCATTTTCCTCCACCTTTAAAATAAAGCCAGTGTGCAAAGAGCTGCAGTGAGAACAGATCGAGAAGGACTGAGTGCCATTATGAGGACTGCCAGAAGGGTCATGTGAAGTCGGTAGCAGAACAAACCTTGATTGCTTGAAAATCTACAGCTTTGCAAGAGCCTTTTGTCCTGGTACCACACTGGAGGCAGTGCTGCTGGAGCTGTGTGGGGAGGCACTTTATAAGGGATGAGAGCTCAGAAAATGAGCTGTCTGCCAACACCCAGGGTTCTCCTCTGGGGTGTCACACCCCTGGGTGGAGTGATGTCCAATGGACCCATGCAAGGCCCAGGCACTGATTTGATGGGGATTTTCCTACACTGCCTTGAGCCAGGCAGAGGTGTTGGAAAGCTCTCCAGTCCCTCTGGGGTGCTCAGCAAGGGGTTAAATGGCACAGAAACGATCAGCAAACAGGCAGATAATGGTGGGCTCAGTGGGTGCGTCTCCCCTCCTTCCTCTCCACTGCAAAATATTCCACCTGCTTGCTCCAGCCATAAAGCCATTCCCGGGGCTGTGAGGAGCACTTGTAAAATCAACAGGGCTTATCGGACCTAAACTTGGGTAAATACTCAGACAATCACTCCCCTTGTGCTTTCATGCTGGGAGTGTGTTAGGAGCTGGTAATGCACCTGCAAAATGAAGTGCCAGCAGTAGGATCTGCATTCTGGAGGTCTCAGCTCAGTGTCGATGGGGATACGTGGATCAGACCCATGGGGAATGGAGTGAGGTGGGATGGGGGAGAGGTGCTGCTGGGTGCCCCCTGGGATGGGGAGGGCTGATTTTAGTGCAGGGCTCCAAATGCACTCCCTGCCCAGTGTTCTGCACGCCCCAGGCCAGAGCTGGCTGCAGAACGCCGACATCTGCGTTCGCTCTGTGCGTTCCTCGTGCCACGGGGGGGATGGAAACATCTGGGGGAAGGATGGAGCGAGCCCTGCAGAAGGAGGAAGGTGATGTGGAACAGATGCTGGGAGCCGGCAGAGCCTTTGGAAGGGCTGCGTGCGTGCGCGCATGTGTGCAAGAGCTTTGTGGCTTCTGCTGGGAGCAGGGAGCTGCCCTGCTGTCTGCCACCCAGGGAGCGAGCCGCCCCACGGCGACGGGAGCCGGGCTGCCGTGCCAGGAGGTCACACGTTTCTCAAAGCTGCCGGAAGGCGGACAGCTTTGCAGCCAAGCAGACGCCGTGCGCACGGTGCTCACCGCCCCGGGGAGCTGCAGGAGGGCCCTTCGCAGCCACTGGCAACAGCGCGTGCTCTGGGACACCGAACAGCAAAGCCACAGAGCCTCAGCATGATGGGGTTGTGTGTTCAGAGGGAACTTGCACCCTCTGGACTCGCCAAACAGCGGCCAAACCCGCGAGTGGAGCGCGGCAGCCCGCCAGCCCCTTGGATTTGCTCTGTTACAAATTACACACACCCCGGGCAGGCAGGGCCTCCGCTCTTTGAAAACTTATCCCCCGGTGTTTATTATAGAAACCAGTTGCCCTATCTGTTGACAGCCAAATTGCAAAAGGCCCCGCTGGAACCGCCGCCCCCGTGCTCCCCTTCTGCCTGGGATGCCTTCATCCCAATGGGCTTTGAGGTGCTGTGCTTGGGGACAGGGCTGCACAGCCACTCCCTGGTGCCACCGAGCGCTCTCACCGTGGAGAAAGCTCACCTAAATGATTGCAATGCCACAAAGAGGACAGAAGGTAATAATTAAATCAGAGAGGCAACGCGAGGTCCTTTCACACCCCAACACGTTTTTCTGTGCCTCCAGGAGCGCCCACAGGAGGTAGAGGGCTGTGCATTGAGGGTTATCTCAGGAAAGGTTTCCTTAAAGCACAGCACTGGGCTGCATCGCTCAGGGTTTGCAGGAGGGAATGCCATGTGCCACGCACTGCTGTGTGCCATGCATTCCCTGTGCCATGCATTGCCCTGTACCATGCATTCCCTGTGCCATGCATTGCCCTGTACCATGCATTCCCTGTGCCATACATTGCTCTGTGCCATGCATTCCCTGTGCCATGCATTGCCCTGTACCATGCATTGCTGTGTGCCAGAGTGAGCCATGAACCCCGCTTATCGCTGCGCTGGGCGAGCGGGTCTGTTCCCAGCTCCTGCAGGTGAGTCACTTCCCCTCTATCTTCTGCATTTCCCATGGTTAAAACAGGCTTGATAAGCACAGGTGTGTTTAAGGGATTTAACCCCGGTGTGGCTGCACGGTGCCCTGGGGGGCCAGGCTGGGTTCCTCTTCTCTTTTTTCTTCCAGGGTTTCCCTAAGGGGCATAAGCACCAGAATGGCACTGCTGGCAGCACGGGGCTGCAGTTTGCTTCCTTGCAGCACAACCCACAAAGAGCAGAGCAGCGAGCCCTCCAGCACCCCCAGCACTGCACCCCATGGGATACCAGCACACCGCATCCCTCCCCACCCCCTTGCACTGCACTGTCCACCCTGTGCCCCCCACAGGGACCCCCAGCGGGGAGCTGCAGCCTGGGCCGGGCGCCAGCATTTCTTCCCCCTTTTTTTTTTTATTTCACTTTATTTTATTATTTTATTTTTTTGGAGGCTTCGCCGGTGTCTGCCTGCTGACTGAAGCTGTCATTATCAGCTCAATAAATCTCTGGCGCGGGTTTTATTGAATCGCTGCCTGAGGGGGAACAAGCCTGTAAAGGTTGAGGAGAGCAGAGCTTTCCCACGCCTGAGACACGCTGCCGGAGCTCTTGCACACATTCCGGGCCTGCCAGCACTCTGCAAATGTTTGGACAGCCTTGAACAAATAACACACCTTTAAAGAGGCCAGCATGAAATTTTTCCTCACCCCTCGGCCGCCCTCCCGCTGCCTCGTGCCCCCCCAGCACCCCGCAGTGCTCCGTGTGTGTGCGCACGGGGTTTATTTTAGGCTCGTGGCCGCGCTCCAGTTTCGGGGAGGAGGATGGAGGATGGGGATGGGAGGAGGTCTGGCTTTTCCTCCCGCAGGTAGGAACTGGCTCCAGCTGTGATTTGGGGGATGCCAATGCTTTTTTATTCGTATTCTTTTTGTTGCACGGTTCCAGGGATGCTCCGCTCCGTGTCCCCGTGGCACAGCACAGGGGTTGAAGCAGGATTTGCCCCAACGCGGTGGTGGGGCAGTGAGGAGCCACAGCAAGGATTAATGGAGCAGCCAGCTGCCTGCCTGCTGAGTTCTGGGAATGTCAAACACTGCAGCCATCTCAACAGCTCCTAAAATTCCCCCTGACTCGTTTCCTGTTGCTGCTTTCCCCATGCTGAAAGGCTCGGGCTCCCGTGGATAAAAAAATTTAAAAAAATAAAAAAATAAATAAAAAAAAAATTGGAGGGATTCCAGAATTTAGGTTTCTGCCTCCTCCATCTTCCCTGTCAACGCGTCGTTAAATAAGAAGCAGGAACGCTGCCTTCGCCGTGCGCTCGTCACCAAAGAGCTGAGCGAAAATCCTGCTGGATGGAGCAGGTGACAAGTGGGTTCCTTGCTCCCAGGGTCTGTCCCCACGTGCCATACCCGAGCAGAGGGCGGGAGGAGCTGCACAGACCACGACTTGGCTCCCTTTGGGGAAACAGAGGCACACCTGAGGCAGGGATGCTGCAAGGGACAGGCAGCAAGCTGCTGCACGCACCCGCCGACAACCAACCGCACCTTGGGCAAGGTCAACAGTGAATGTAGAATGGGAAGAGCGAAGGTTGAGCAGCACGGCGCAGGGCTGGGTGCAAGGTCCATTGCCAGCACGCTCATAAAGCGTGGATAAGGGAGTGGTTTCTAGCTGAGAAAACCTCTCACGTTGGTTTAGAGGCCACCCAGGTGTCCCCAGGTTGAAGGGAGCCGTGTGTCACAGCGAGGAGGAGGCTCTGCCGTGCTTTGGTTCTGCGTTGGAAAGGCTTTGCACGCGCATTGCAGGCATGGGGTGGGTGGTCAATGCTTCCTTCCTTGTGACCACACCCGTGCAGATTTGAGTCACCGTGGGATGATACCAGGCAGGGGTTGGGCTGTGCTCTTCTCTCCCAAAAAACCTTTGGGAGGTTGGGTGCATTCCAAGAACTACAGCAGGGTTTGGAGCTTCCCAGCACTTGCTGTGGCTTGGTTGGTTTGGCCAAGGTCTCAGCCTAGCTCTCTGGTGCAGCTGCTCCCCCAAAAAAGGCACAGGAACCACCAGTTTGCAGCAGGAGGTGGATCAAACCTCCTGTTTGCTTTCAAGCCTTCAATTGTCCGTTAGCAAAGTGCAGACCACAGAATGGGTGGCCCCTTTCCTGCAGAAGCTGTGAAAACCTGCTCGGTTCCTGTGCTAGGAAAGCAAACAAACAAACACGACCCGGCGCTGGGTTTCAGCACATCAGAGCATCTGGAAGCAAACCCTGAGCCCTTGCCTTGCTGATAAGAGCCAGCTCCATTGCCCACCGATGGGAGAACCCGGAGATGTAATTAGAAATGCGAAACGCTCGAAACAAAGGGCAAAAAAAGCAATCAGCAAAAGGTAATTAAAACGGATTCAACGAAGCAAAAATGATCCAAACTTAACACTGGGAGCGGATCCAGCTGAGCAGGCTGGGGCACGGCGGACCCACGGCTCTGGGTCTGTGCTTTAGTGCTGCTTTGCACTTCTGCAGCCCTCGGAGGAGCGCTCTGCAGGGGTCACAGCGCAGGCATCAGGGTGGCTCAGCAGAGGGGCAGAGGGATTTATGGCAGACCTTGGGAGCGGGAGGCTGCGCTGTCAGAGTCTGTGCCATCCGAAGGCAGTGCACGTGGGGAGCTCGTTCCTCCTCACTTATTTTTAGCACTGAGGTTTATATCAGGAATGACAAATTTGGCATCGGCGCTCGGATGTGGCTGGGATGGGAGCAGCGTGCAACAATACAGTCCCAAACACAGCAGGGCTGCCTCTTCCTCTGCTGTCAAGGCTGGGGGTGGTGGGGAGCCCAGCAAAGCCAGCCAGCCCCAGCACTCAGCAGCAGGGAGCAGATGGAAGTGAAGAGAAGCACGTTACACTTGTCCCTGGGCAAAAAAAGCAATGTGTTTTGTATCCCTATTAAAGAGAAAGCTCGTGTCACTGGAAAATGGATCAGGTTTTTGGGAGACTGGGGAATGCAATCGCTCTGTTTCTTGCCCCGTGCTTGGGCTGTGCTCAGTGCTGAAAATCCCATATCTGAATGTGGGATGATGAATGTGCTGTGTCCCACGGGATCCTGGGCTCTCATATGGCCTCAGGTCTCTGCAATGAGTGAGCCTTTGGGAAGACACCATCCAAAATGCTGCCTTGGTGCCGGATGCATTCCCCTTGCTCCTAGCTGGTCCTCCTGCGTGGGATGCTCCACGCTCAAGGCAGTTCACTGGGGTTAGGATGGGGTGCCCACGGGATGAGGCACTGCCCAAACAACAACAAAACCCCACTGCAGCCAAGCACCGTGCTGGGAACACGGAGTAACCCACGTGTGTGTGTGGGAAGCTCTGTGCCCGAGGTTATCCAGTGCTGCGGGGGGTGGGCATGGGGGAATGCTGTCCTCAGCGCTGCCTTGTGCAGCTTGCTGCTGGAGATAGAAGCTGCACGCAGCCTTATCCCTCCCACCAGCTCCCATGTTTTGGCTGGGGCCGACGGGAATTAGCGGCAGTGCAGTGTTTGTTCTCACCGAGCAGGGGGGAGGCTGAGAGGGAGAGACACCAAGAAAATAACAGGGGAGAGAAGGAAGGAAGGGGAGGGGATGTGCGCAGAGCCACGAATTCACGGCATCCTTCCAGGACGCACTGGGAGGGCGCAGTGGGGGTGGTTTGAAGAGCTGGGACAGCTCTGGGAGAGAGAGTCCGTTCAGACATTGATCGGCTGATATAGGTCAGCTCCAGTCATTATGCAGAGCTCTAAAAACAGGGCATCAATCACCGCAGCCAGACTTCAACCGCTGGGACAGAACCGGCAGTGAGAGGGGGTCTGGAGGTCGGCTTTGCCCTAGATTTATTTTTCCCCCATTTGCAGCCGGAATGGGTCGGGTGGAAGGCAGCACGTTGCCTTCTATGGGGCTTATCGCTCCCATGGCCCTCTGCCCCTCCCTGTCTGGCTGGCAGCTACCTGGCCGCGAGCAGCGATGCTATCACACAGCACACCGATAAGGGCCACGGGGATGTGGCAAGCGCTGGCCCTGTAGGACTGCAAACACAGGGACGCACCCCGCCCTGCTTAATACCCCAAAATGCGGTGTTTGGGACGTTTCCTTCGGAAAGTTCCAAGCAGGTGACTCACCCCATGTACCTTGACTCCTTTTTCTGCACTTTATTATTTTTTTTTTATGGCTGGAATTTGTCCCCTTCGCTCCGACCCTTGCACTGCCAAGGAGCAGCCCCACGCTCGCAGCTTGCCGGTGGTTCTACGGGCGCTCAGCCCCTCGGTGTGGGTGGAGGGCAGCCCCCTTTGCAATGCTATGAGCGGTGCCACGGCCTGTAGGAAGCTGCTGGGCTCTTCACCAAGGGATCCTAAAAGACAGAAGGGCAAAGTGCAGCTGGATGGAGCCGGTTCTATCTATGGAATAATTGCTTGAGGTGCAGCATCGCTCAATTTCAGCAGCCAGTTGGTGATGGCCGTGGTTGTCATGGACTGCTGCAACGGAGATTGGTTGGATTTACGGCCCCTCTTGCATGAGCTAGTTAAAAAAAAATAGTACAAACATTTAAACACCAGTGGCAGTAAAGATAAAAATGCAAGCCTGATTAGATAAAGATACATATTTCATATTTACACCTGGACCATAACCTTTGTTTGCTCCAGCTTGAGGCTACTCAAATGCACGAGTGCTCCGCAGAGATTTCCTGGAGGCCCCAACACCTCCTGGTGCAATGGGATTTGGGAGTAGGCACCCAGAACGTGCAGGAGAGCTCCTTGGGGACAGGGACAGCAGCGAGGACACATCCTGCAGGTGCTGTGGGGCAGGGATGGGGCAGCAGGTGCAGCCTGGAAAACTCTGCCTTGCAAAGCATGGATCCTATGGGCGCTGCTGCCTCTGTGGCGTGTTGACACCGAGGTTAAACCAGTGCAGCCCCGCGGACTCGGTGGCACTGCCCGCTTCTGAGACACGTGTCAAGGGCTTGGGGACACGGTGGCACATGCCTTTCTCTTCTCTTTTTTTTCCCCTTCTGCTTTTTGCACACGTCAACCGAGCAGATTCCATGTTAATGTCACGTCCGTGCGGCGGCGGTGCATTCCTCCCAGCGTTGCCATGTGAGGCCGGGACGGCGTTTGGCTGCGGTTAAAATGCTTTATCAGTTGCTGAAGTCACTTTGTAAATAGCGGCAGCCAAGAGCCGGGAGTTGGGGAGGATGGGGAGGATGG